AAACAAAAACCATGTGTTTTCTGAGTCAAAGTTAGTTTCTCCCGTACCACAAATTCCTGGATCCGCTCCCGAAAAGGGTCGGTTAGTGTTGGTAATCACATGATTTCGAGTACAATTTACGATAAAACAGCACGAGTAAATATTTGAAATGCGAACAAATTGCACGAGCCTGTAGGGCGAGTACAATTTGTAGTTATTGAAAAATTAACAAATGCTGATTTATCCCGAATTGCACCAGAAAAATCATGCGATTACTTGTTAATAATGTACCACACCAAAATATGACTCTGTTTTCCTCTCTAGTTATTTTTTTTTTCGTGTCATGGCTCACTGGTTCGGCCGCTTCCCCTTGCCTTGTGCTGGAGTAGTCGAGGTTTTCCCAAGAATTTGGTTCGAGCTTTTAAACTCACCGTCACGAACAATCGGGTTTTTGTACTCTTTGTCAATTAGGTATCGGTCGACAGCAATAATCAGAACACGAAAGATATCACGCTCGTTATCTTCCCCGTCTTTCTTACGAACTGATGCGTAAAATTCCTCGAGAAGTTTGTTCAGCGTCCCCGATTCATATTTTCCAACGCCCAAAACTTTCAGACTTTTGGCCAGTTGTTTGTGCTTTGTTTTGTATTTTTATTTTTGGCATTCTCCATAAAACTCTGAATTTAAAAGGTTGTTACCTTCTCCTAACCTCTCCGCCATTTTGTTTTGTTGCACTTTCGTGACTCTCTTGGCAATCAAATTATTTTCATCTTTCTACACTCAATTTCAACTTTTTGCCCTCAATCTCAACTTTGTGTACTGTTTGGGATTAATTGACGTGTTCTCAGCCAATAAGCGTTCTGAAATGTTTGCATGCATCTTATTAAAAATGAAATAATTTAACCTTTACACCAACCTCTTGCTACGCTTTTCTAATTGCTCGGTCAGAATTTGATGTCAATTAATTGCGAACGGATTCAAGATTAACTTGCACTTTTGGAAAGCCTAATTAAAGCAAAACTCAGCTAGCGTGATAACCAATCGCGTTACAAGTCAGGCAGATCAATGACTTTTCGTCGAGCATTGGAAAAGTAAATACATGAAGGGTTTATGAAAATAAATGCTTGTAATGGTTTTCTTTACAGCCGTAGCAGAATACTCTGATGCGTTGAAAGAATCAATAAAAAGCCAAACCGAGTACCTCGCTCAGGCCTCACCGACCATGTCCAATGTGAGAACAGATGACATATTCACCAACATTCTCATGCAACATGGAAGAAAACCAGTCGAAGATCCTCATGTGAAAAGAAAAGAACGCCTTCGCCAGTACGGTCAAATAAGTGGAAAGCAAATTAAAAGCTCTCAAGAAATTTTCATCCCAACCGATGGGAAACATCCAGAATCTGTTCTTGTCACTGGAAAGGCAGGCATCGGTAAAACTCTGTTTTGTCAAAAGCTGATCAAAGATTGGGCTGACAACAAATTGTTTCGATCCAGAGCAAATGCAGAAGTACCTGATTTAAAGTTCGCATACTTGCTCACCTTCCGTCAGCTTAATCTACTTGGGGACGACCCTGTTACCTTGAAGGATATCTTAAACCGATCTTCAGTGCTAGATGACCGCTCAAATATCGACGACTCTATATTTGAGTACATTCTTCATCATTCCGAAGAAGTTTTGATTATCATCGACGGGTATGACGAGTGTTCACAACGAGAGTACATCGCTAGTAATTCGGATGAAAAGTACCCAAATAACGCCAAAGAGAAAATGCCAGTAGCGGCACTGTGTGCTAAGCTTATCAAAGGAAAAATACTGAGAGGTTCGGTCGTCATGATCACGTCAAGACCCGACGAATCTGACGAAATGAAAGCCAAAGACATCTATTTTGACAGATACGTTGAAATTACAGGATTTTCCGAGCCACAGGTAAAAGAATACATTGGAAAGTATTTCAAAAACAACGACCGAATGAAAAACATTGTAATGGACCACATTACAAAGAATGTCAATCTTGTCAGCTTTGCCCACATTCCTGTGCTCTGTTTTCTTATGTGCTCCTACTTTGAATATACTCTACAGCAACCAAAGAAGAATAATCCTCTCCCGGTGAAAACAAGTGACCTTTATGATGAAGTGGTCAACATGTTCGTGCAAAAGCACGATAGAAAGAAAAGAGCCTCTGTCGAAGAGACTCTGGATGAATTATCAAAGCTGGCAGCTCAACTCCTTGAGGAGAGAAAGTTTCTTTTCCTTAAAGAGGATTTGAAAACTTTGAACTTACACGAGCTTGAAAGTCTGTGTGGAAGCGGTCTTCTTCATTGCGGTCCTCCTTTCAGAACATCTTTTTCTGCGACGACTAAACATTTTTGTTTTACGCATTTGACTCTCCAAGAGTACTTAGCGGCTCGTTGGTTCGTAAAGACAAGAAAAATCCCCCCCGGAGATGTGTCCACAGAAGTAGTTCTATTTATGTCCGGTATTTTGTCCAAGGAAGAAGACAACGAATTTGTGAAAAAGTTGATTATCGAGAAAATTCTCAGCGTCTCATTGACAAATACAACTACAAAGGGGCTTTTAATTTCCAAATGTCTCCTACAATACGAAGACATCGAGTTTGCCAAGGAAATAGTAAAGAAATTTCGCAACGTATTCTGCCCACGTGTTGGATATTTTGATCTTTCTGGCTTCGAGAGGGCCAATGTGGACTGCATTGCTGTGTCTTTTGCATTAAATGTTTTTGCTGCACTTAATGCAGAGGACGAATCTGAATGGAGTAGAATCACCACACTTAGCCTAAGTGATCAGAATGTCGCCAATTTTGCCAGTCTATGTCAAGCATTACAGACACCAACATGTAAAGTCACCAAACTTAATCTGAATAATAATCAGATCACCGATGCCGGTGTTGCCAGTCTATGTCAAGCATTACAGACACCAACATGTAAAGTCACCCAACTTTATCTGGGTGATAATCAGATCACCGATGCCGGTGTTGCCAGTCTATGTCAAGCATTACAGACACCAACATGTAAAGTCACCGAACTTGATCTGGGTGATAATCAGATCACCGATGCCGGTGTTGCCAGTCTATGTCAAGCATTACAGACACCAACATGTAAAGTCACCGAACTTAATCTGGGTTATAATCAGATCACCGATGCCGGTGTTGCCAGTCTATGTCAAGCATTACAGACACCAACATGTAAAGTCACCGAACTTCATCTGGGTGATAATCAGATCACCGATGCCGGTGTTGCCAGTCTATGTCAAGCATTACAGACACCAACATGTAAAGTCACCGAACTTCATCTGGGTGATAATCAGATCACCGATGCCGGTGTTGCCAGTCTATGTCAAGCATTACAGACACCAACATGTAAAGTCACCAAACTTCATCTGGGTAATAATCAGATCACCGATGCCGGTGTTGCCAGTCTATGTCAAGCATTACAGACACCAACATGTAAAGTCACCGATCTTTCTCTGGGTGGTAATCAGATCACCAATGCTGGTGTTGCCAGTTTATGTCAAGCATTACAGACACCAACATGTAAAGTCACCAAACTTGATCTGGCTAGTAATCAGATCACCGATGCCGGTGTTGCCAGTCTATGTCAAGCATTACAGACACCAACATGTAAAGTCACCGAACTTAATCTGCATGGTAATCAGATCACCGATGCCGGTGTTGCCAGTCTACGTCAAGCATCACAAACAGCAGCATGTAAAGTCCTCTTTTAATCTAAGTGAAAGTCACGTCACAGACGCCGGTGAGAACCGTCTAATGTATATTTTCGAAAAAACCCGTCATATCTACCTTTCTTATGATGAAGAAGACATTGACAAATAACCCTATTTTAGAAAAGATATACGAAAGTTCAAAGACACAGGGTTGACATAGACAATTTCAATAGTGAACGCTTCAACGCTGTAAACGCATTATTTTTTTGTTGTTCTTAAAATGCATTTATTACTTAATATTTGCATAAATTAAAGATTTTCATTAAAAAATCACAAGATTTCGAGTACAATTTGGGATAAATTAGCACGAGTGAACTGTTCAAAGGCTAACCAAATTGCATGCGCCTGTAAGGCGTGTGAAATTTTTAGTTCTTGAAAAATATACGAGTGCTTAGTTAACTAACATAACCCTAACCCTAACCCTAAGCAAATTGTACGAGAAAAAACGTGATTATCTGTTAATAACTTACCTGCAAAAATCAGACTCTGTTTTCCTCTTAGTCGTGTTTATTTCGTGTCACGTCTTACTGGCTCGGCCGCTTGCCTTTGTGCTGTTGCCGGAGTAGTTTCACATCTCTCAGTCATAAGACAGCGCAAGAAAGCATTTTGTGCCGTCGTGAATATTGCCTGTCATGACCGGTTAAGGGCCAGACAAATGGGAGGAGAGGGATGGAGTGAGGGGAAAAACCTTGATGATATCCGTCTTTTTGTCTTCCCTCGAAAGTTAATTGATCACGACAGTAATTTAACCCTTCATTTACAATTTTAAAAAGGGTTCAAGCCTATTTGCATCACTGAGAGAGCGTAAAGAGCCGAGTCAGAATTCGATCTTTGTGAAGTTTTTGTTTTCGTGTTATTTTCACGACCGTTCTAAATATTTCCCACCTTATTTTACGCTTGGTGACCTTAGAGTAAACTTTGACTTGGACTGCTTAGATTCGTTAAATTCGTTCGTTAATTGGAACACATTCCAAAATCCTCCCTTGACCTTCTGTACATCTCTGCGACTAAACAGTTCCCCACCCTACCCAGGTCTAGTCATCGTTTAACTGGGATTCATTAAGTCTTTTACTCCTAATCGAGTAGAACTTTTTGAACTTGACATCCAAATGCTTAGATTATAGCCATTCTTACTGAAGATTCAAACGGATACTTCGGGTACTAATCACAAAAAAGAAGTTCTTGATTTTGTTCACTGTTCTGGAGAACTGCGATGACCGGTCTATCGATAATCCTAGCTTTGACATAACGGAAAAAAGGAACAAAACAATACAACTATAACAAAGTGAAAACCTTTATTCCACCACATGCCTAATTGACATCACCAAAAATGTTTCGTTTCGTAAGCGGGAATTTGATCTGAATCACAAACAAAGGAAAGTGTCTTTCCTGGAGCGCGACGTCCAATGCCCGAATATACGCTAGCTGCGTTCAAATTACTCTGAATGTGTTCTTGTTATTTTAATAATATGCAAACGCGAGCTAACTTTATGAAATCCAGCCTATTACTTACAAAATGTTTACATCATCGTCAATTTTCTGAGGCATTTTTAATTTGAGAATGTCAAATCAAAATTTGTTTTGGTTGTCTGTTTCCTTACTTGTTTTCTTTGTCACTTCATAAACTGTTGAAGAAACTTCCTGAGCAATGTTTGAATTTCCAACTTCCTTTCACAAAATGTGGGGCAATGACCCAAGAAGGTGTTTAACCTTACGATTAACCTCGGTTCTCCTTTTTGAATCTTTATGGCTGCTCCAAGGTAAACTTCCATGACCAGAACAACTTCGTCTCTACCAACACAGACATAAGGCCAGGTTGTTAAACTGACAATCATGTATCCCAAAATGACGCATACTATTTTTTACTTCAGCGAACCAATGAAGTTGTCTAAATTGTATTCTGTTTCATACTGTTCCTCGTCCCATAGTTCTCCCAAATTTTCAATCATAGTTTTGAGCGAAGTCTTCCCAGTCGCATTCGACTGTTGTGCGCTTGGTTTTTCTCTCTTCTTTTCTTGGTCGACTGAAAAGAGATCCAGGAGTTGTCCAGTATCCATGGTCAATAGGCTTGAGTTGTCTTGCGAGATCACTGTGTTGGCGATGTTCAGTTTAAACTTCTGGAGTCTAACAGAAAAAAAATGTCCGACTTGAAGACTCAATTTATAAAATATCTAAGTGTATAGTATGTTATCACTTGACAATTAGGTTTAGAAACGAGCGGACAATGAGAATGTCTTTCATAAGTTTGAGAACAAAGGAAGACGCCAAAGAGGTGTTGACTGTTCTATCCACCTTGGGGAAATTGGAAAGCTGACTACAAGTTGTTATTAAAAACTGGATCATTGGATAATGCAATTCAAGAGTTTTCATTGGCTTAGCCATCATGAGTTATGAGTCATCACGCGCGCGCATGAAGACGAGTTAAATCGGAAGTGTTTTTATACATTGTAACATTCCGTTTTTCTTACAAAATAAAGTTGGGAATATTTATTTATAGTTTAAGCCATTTTTGATAAAACGGTCAATCTACTCGCCCTTGTTGGATATGAGATGATTACCGCCGACGAGGCCCGTCATCTCATATCCAACGGGCGCTCGTGGAATAATTGTTTATTAGACGATACTCCTTCATAAATAAACTTTTACCGCTGCGTCAATGGGCAAGTGAGACACTTACATTAAAAAAAAGTGGAAAAACGTTTGAGAAGCTGACTTTTCAAGCGTCACCCGCTTTCGGAAAAAACTTAACGAGCGTTAATGTTAGTCCTATCTCAGGATATCTAAATGGCTTAAAGAAGGAGGCTTCTCGTCGAGAGTGTAACGTAAAAAAAACCTATTTGCACTGTGCTGTATGATTCAAATAGTGCTGCTTTAAAACCTACCCCATAATCTTTTCCTCGAGTGTTCCCCGTGTAATCAATCTGTACACGTTTACAACCTTCTTCTGTCCAATACGATGAGCTCGGTCCATGGCTTAGAAAAATGATCGAAGCAATCAAGAAAAGGCAACTGATCGCATCTACCAAAAACAAAGCTTGAGCAAAGTTGGTGAAAATCGGAATATACAGGGGGGAGGGGACAGGTTCAAAAGGTTGGTGGTTACGTACTTGTAGGTCCTTCATTGGGTTCCAGTCGTGCTCCACAAAGATGACCGTATCGGCACCAGTCAAATTCAATCCCAGTCCTCCAACATGTGTCGTCAACAATAGAATGTCGATTGAGGGATCGTTGTTAAATCTGAGGATAAAATAAGTCTCTAAGTAACAGAAAAGCTGTTAAACGTCGCGTTTATTATCCAAAAAAGCGTTGAAAGCAGAAAATCGTTACCAGTCGGCCCATTCAGGGTGCATCACAGAAACCTGGCAATGATTTGTTCGTGGAGAAGCCATCTGTAGCATAGCAGTCTAGGTATGGCATACTTGTGAAAATGTCATGTACTTGTCATATAGTTGTGACGATTAATTACGTATGCTAATGTCGAGACGATATCTAGGGGGAGGCGTGCACCGAATACGGGACTTGTGTGTATAGGTTATATGTCGTAGGTTGTCTTGTAATATTGTTTGGATACCAGACCATCGTTTCCTCCCTTTGTTCCGCGAGATATTGGACCATGGCCAATAACCGGAACCGAAAAATCTCAAATGAAAGAATTCTCACCTTTGTACGAGCGAGTGACGCGAGCCCGCAGGCGTACTTCCATCTAGTCTGAGGTATGTCACTGTAGGCATATGTTTTCTGCGTGAATAAAGCAAACTGAATATAAGAAGCAGGCTAAGTTTCAAACCTTTACATCTTTCCACTCCCAAAGGCTGAATATTAATGAGAAGATTTACCAGCCACTCCGACAATTCACTTCGTATTAAATGAAGAAGGTTTGATAAAATGATACTTTGTCCTTGCAACACGTCGTACAAATATAAACTGTTTTAAACGTGTTCGATCACCACAGCGACAACATGAGACGTAGCGGCGAGGTACTACCCACGAACAAGTACACATAGAGTCTTGTTCTGGTTAATTGTCAAATGGACAAACCAAAGACGAATGCAGCAATATCAATCAGCATGGCGAAAAAAAACAATTTAAACAAAAAACAAAAAGATTGCTCTTACTTAAGAAGATCATTTTCAACGATGTCTAACATGCTCTTTAACTGACAGAACAACAGCACCCGGTGTTGGGACACTACAGGGTCTGAAGACAGATCACTGGAGCCTGAGGATGAGGAGCTAACTCCTATCCCACAATCCATCAGCAGCTGCCTGTTGATCAATTTGTAGACAGAAAGAGAGAATTAGTTCAACTAGAGTAACCTGAGGCGTACATCAAACAAAACTATTTTCACAATCAGCTAAAGGTCAAACGCCTAAACGCCAACATATGTTATGACGAGGGAATATTCTTGATAGGAAAAAATGACTTCATTTTTCACCTCTAAGCAAAGTATGCTGCTATCAGGGTGACAGAATGCGCAGTAGTTTTTATGAACTGGTTACAAGGAAAGGATGAAAACAGAGAAGACCTTACATTAGGTGAGGGATTTTATGAATTTCATTCAAGTAAGAAACCGCCATTTTTAAGAAACTCAGAAATCAATGGTACTCTAGGCGTGCCAGTCTAAAAAGAGTGCTTGCAAAAGTTCAAAGTCTATCCGTAAGCAATCCGTTAAAATATAATTGTTATGGTAACCGCACAATGCCTTGAAGTTACACTAACAAATAACCTGACTTACTTGAGAGCAACAAGTTTGGCGGCATGCTGAATATCCCGGATGGAGACATGTTGTTGATGTAATTGGTCCATAACTTTGGTGTATTCTGGATGATTGGCAGTGAGCACCAAAAGCGGGTGGTTGCATAGCTTGCGCAGGTACTGAAGAGCCTGGGAATTATTTACATGTCAGATTGAATGAATATTCATACTGCATAAGGTTATTTGTGGTAAGCACTGAGGACAGACTAGTGTCCATGATCAAATTCACAATTAAACGAGTAAAATAAACGTTGTATGGCAGTAAGAATGAAATCAATACTAACCTGGAAAACGTGAGGATTATCTTTGCTTGCTTTCTCGTTTTTGTTTTCTTCATCGATGTGAGAAACTGTTTCCTCCAAACCTTTCTTGACCTGAGACTTGGCGAAGTCTTCATATAACTGAACCTGTAAAACGAAAAAAATTTTTTCTTGAGTGAGAGGAACGATCTGGAGGGCAATTTTCGGAAATTCTCCAAAAAAAAAATACCACTAAATACATGTTGGAGATCCTTGAAATTTTCGCACAGCTGCTTGAATATTCATATCCTGTCGACAACTATCAAGTATTGTCGAAAACTATTATACATCGACCCAGTGGCGCACTTTGATTGTTGGCCATAGCAACAGACTGACCTGTAGCGGACTCAGTTCACAGTAGTAATCTTGAATGATCTTAGGTGGAAGATCTTGCAGTACATCTTCTTTCAGGCGCCTCAATAGGAATGGTAAAACCTGACGATGAAGGGCCTCCATAGCCAAGGCCCCTAAGAATGGGACACATGTGTCAATACAGACCACGGTATCACCTCATTTATGATCCACAACGCCATGAAATCTTACTGACAGGCGAACAGTCTACTCCTAGAGGACCTTCAATTTTCTACTTATTTACCAAATCGTTACCGAGGAGGGACAACTCGCTTTCTTTAGGGCGTGGTCTTTGGAATAAAAAGGGTGAAGCCGGCGGAAAATCAAGGGTAAAACCATCCAACATTTTCTATGATAGCTGAAAAGTGAGAGCGTCTTGCAGAGGCCGGTTTCACTTTTTTTCTGGTGGGGCACAACATCTATTGTCCTTTTTGTTCAACAAACGTTAAGCCGAATTTCAGGCCGCTGAAGTGGCTAACACATGTAACTAGCGGCTTCGTGGAACTCTTGAGTGGCGGAAAGAGGATTGGAGCTCTGACGTTCATTTAAATGTTTCTACTGCCTTATTTTTCATCACGGACCAAAAGCTACGCAGGCTTTGTGTTAGCTACTTAGTACTCAATTCACGGACACTCACCAGCTTCTTGTTCCTTAGAGGACGATTTTGCGTCTCTACTCTGTAGAATTGGTTTACCAAACCGAGACTGAAACTGCTTTTCACTTCCGAGAAAACCAGGCATTAAGAAATCAAACAATGACCACAGCTCCAGGACATTATTCTGAAAATAAAACATAAGCATGTCAACGTAAAGCACCGTATCAAATCTTTACAAGACTGAACGAAGTAAAGCAATACAAAAAACTACAAAATTACGCTACTATACGGAAAGATAACTCATAACAAAGGAGTATGGTGAGAATGAAGCAAAAATGAACGACACATTAGAACGAGCAATGTCTCAATTGTCTCAATTTTTAATGTTGTGACGTAGAATATTTCAGAAACATGAACAACGTTTTGCTGTTCGACAGAAGCTGCTGACATTTCCTAACAGTATACGAGGCAGAGGAAAACATTTATCCACTTCTTTGTTTGTAAACGAAGAGGACTTTAGGATCTACATGTGGAACAACTGTTGGTGCATTGACTAGTCATCTTCCCATATTTAAATCGCATAGCTTCATTTGCTTAATAAAAGCCCCTCAATTCGTACTTGGATTGGTGTTCCCGAGAGTATAAGTCGATGACTGGCTCGTAGCTGCTTAATGACTTTAGCAAGCTAGAAGGAAAGACAAAAAAAAATCAAATTGAAAAACTGGAACTTAAGCCGCCCACCACGACCAATGTCGACATCAATGACGATGCATTACAAAGAGCTTGTTTACGATTCCGTCCTAACTGCTCAAAAGGGCTGATACTTGTAGGAACTTCTTACCATCCGCCTTTAATTTGAATACTGGACTACATCGCTACCGTTCCATTTCAGACGATTCGAAATCATTCTCAAGCAACAACCATCAATGAAACTTCAATGATAAAAAAGAAAACCTGTTTAAGTTCTGTCAGAGAGATAACATATAGAGAATGCCAAATAAACGATATCTTCGTCTCGACCAGTTTTTTTCCCTGTCAGGTCTCCTCAACGTTTGCTCTCTAGAGAAAACACCAAGACGT